CCCCCCCCCCGCAAAGCTGTGGTTCTCCACAGCAGAGCAAGGGTTGGCCTGTGTTTCATACGGCTAAGGATGGAGGCCAAAGGGTTAAAAATACGAAAGAGAAGCACACACAGCAGAGGTGGTCTGTGCCCTGCGATGCCTACTTCCTACTGTCGCAGTCTGCCAGGCCCACCTGCTCCACAGCACCCCTGCCAGTCCGGCCCCAGCTTGCACATCCTGGAGACAGGCAGCTCATCGCCTCTCACAGCAGAATCGCTGCAGCTGGAGAGCGCTGCTCGTACTTCCCTAGTTCAGGATGACACTTGCCTCCCAGGCCCTTGGCTGCTGCCTGCCAAGGTTGTGAGGGACTCGAAGCCTCCTTCTGCCAGCCTGGCAGAGGTCTGTAGACAAAGCCTGCCCTGCAGTCTTTCTCAGGTCTTCTCAGCGGCCCCACCTCTGTGTCCCAGTCCTGAGTGCTTTAGGCTTCTCCAGGGATCCCTGGAGCACTATGGTGGGTGATACAGGGAACGATCCCCCCCACCACCCCCCCAAATAGCGCTCTCTATAACTCTTCCTCCCCACCACGCCCCCACTCCCATGGCACTCACTTGCAGGGAGCAGGGTGATCAGGGCAGCCGCAGTCAGGCTCCAGGTCGCCAGCCCAGCCATCGCGCCAGCGTGCGGCTCACCTGCAGGCAGAGGGGCTTGGTTAAGCGCCTAGGCTTTGGAATCTGAGCTGATGGTGCCTCTTGCTCTGCCGCAGGGTGTTTGTGGCCTGGCTGCTGGACCTCGCTTTGTAACATGGGGCGACAACAGCGTGTCCTGCCCAGAACGTTGGGAGGAAGCCAGGAAAGGGTGCAGGTCAAGGGCAGAGCACAGTGTCTGGCTCCAAGGAAAGCCCCCTTCCAGGAAAGAGCAGGGAAGGGTGTAGCAAGGAACAGCATTCTCACCCTTTCCCTCCTGAGTTCACTGTTCCCTGGGTGCCCTCCTGAAGCCAGGGCTCGCCTGCACAGACCGTTCAAGTTGGAAGCTCCCCGAGGACAGAGGAAGGGAGCGGGGAGGAGGGAATGCCAACACCAGGTGACAGTATGGAGCTTGTCACTCCCGGGGGCTCGGTCCTGCTGGGACCTTCTGAGTGATGGTGTTGCTCACCTCAGATTATCTACCTGGAATTTCTCCCGTGGGTGGGAGGGAGGCCAGGAACATTCACCCACTGACTTAGGTTGCCCCAGGGGGGTGCACTAGCTCCCTTTCAGGTCTAGCATGAGGCCCTGGGGTTCTCCTGGGGAGCGATACAGCAGCGCCTGTCAAGCCACACCTGTGGGATGCCGGCTGGGGGCAAAGGTGGGCTGTGAGCCTGTGAGACGGGGCACACACAGGGGTCTCCTTCACCCCCACTTCTGGCGCAGAGCTCTGGAGGCCCTCTGGAGCCAGGGTTGTGTGGTTCTGGTAGAGAGAGGAAGTGTGTAAAGGGGGGCCGATTCTAAGTCTTCACTTTCCCCTTTCCTGCTTCCAGGAGGGTGCGGGGAAGGAGCAGCAAGGAAGGGCATTCTTGCTGCTCCTGGTGGAAGGACAGTGGGACAAGCAGGAGCACAATCCTGCAGGAGTGTCCCCCCGAGACTCCAGTGGCCAACTGAGATGGGAACCAGTGCTCACAGCGAGGCATGCTGCAAAGGGAATCTTTTTTCCCCCCTTGCTTCCAAGCAGAGCTGACTAAGCGCTCCCCAGACATGTAAGGCTGTTCCTGCTTACGAAGGCCTCCCCACAGTTGCCAGTCTGCCCCCCCAGTGTTGCAGGGTCAGCAGACAGGACAGCTGCTGGCCCGAGAGCCACCATTGTGCACAAGCAAACCACAACCCTCCTTCCTCTGTGCAGGTGCAGTCACACACGGGGACTCCCAGCCTGTTGATTGGAGAACAGAGTCCCTTGTCGCTCAGCTGGGTGCCTTTATGCCGTGAGAAGTCCTGAGCACCCTTGTCTAGTCCTTCCTTCCCTGTCGAATTCTTGGGAAGGTCCAGACGCTTCTAGGTCTAGCTTCGGGGACACATCTCGCAGCGTGTTTGATCGTGCCCCAGCCTGCTGCCCCAGGACAGCCAGCTTCAACGTCGGACCCACTCGTGCCCCTTGAGGTACCATGCCCCGCCATACTCCACGAGGCCGGGCATCCTCCTCGTGGGATGCTAAGTGCTGGTGTGTTCCGCATCTGACTGTAGTACCCAGACTAGTTCTACCCACCCTCCCACCTGGGTCCCACGCTCGGGGTGGGGGGCTTGATGGAGAGAAGTGGGGGCTCTACCTGATCTGGACGCCAGCTCCGCTCCCGACTGGCTGTGGGACCTTGTAGAAGTTACTTCGCTTTTCGGCGTCTCAGTCTCCCCATCTGTGCAAAGGGGTGACAGGAGCACACCTCCCCAGGAGGGTGAGATGACTCAGGCTGTGACAAAGGCTCCTGTCCTGTGACCAGTGCGGAGTAAGCACCTACTAGCTCAGAAGGCTGTTTTCGTGAACCACCCAGCGGATGCCCCTCCTGGAGCCCAGCTCCCTCTAACCTCCTCACACCCCTTCCCGTGCTGCCTGGTCATGGCCTCCGGGGACTGCCACCTCGTCTTTGGCTTCTCCTGCTATGCAGTCCAAGCAGCCCCTCCTTCCAGCCGGGTCCTTTTCTGTCCACCTCCCCTGAGCTCCCAGGTGCTCTGGGCACTGTCCGAGCTCACAGGGCTCTGGGGCCTTTGCCTGCTTCCTGGGGTCACAGTGTCCCACCGCCGGTCCCCTCTCTGTTGTCCTCACCTTCCCTTCTATCACTCTCCTCTCTCTCTCTCTCTCTCTCTCT